GTGTATACTAAACAACAGGGATTTCAAAAGCGTGTCAGTGTATCTCAATCACTGTCTCGAAATTTTGAGACTTTTTTATTTCTACGCCAGTGAACGTAAAGCGCCCCAGAAATCGTAGGGGAACCTAACGCATGTAGGTCTGAGTAAACTCTCAGCCCCTATATTCTGGGAACCCTATGCGAAAAACGGGATACGTTGATGAGTTTTAAAATGTGATATCGTATCAAATTATGCGAAATCACCCATTTATCCGGGGCGGCATCACTTTGATCAGTCGAATTCCTATTGTTTCTTGTTTTGTCGTGGTGTTACTTGCCACGTGGTGACGTCCATCCAAGGGTTGGGCTTACCTGTGAGTTGTCCTGAGCACGGTGAACATTTGGGGCTCTATTTCTCAACTTCCAGCCGTGAAATCTGTGCAGATCTCTGTGGACCGATTCCCGAGGTGACTGATCCATTCATCTTATCGTGGATAATTCTAAGCAGATGTTACGCACTTCCAGTAAGAGCATCCGCCGTTGTTCTTCTGTCCTAGCTCTCTGTTCCAGGCCGTCATACGTTGGGGGATCCTCAGCAAGGGAAGTCGTACTGAAGGAGGAAGTTCAGGGGGGGAGTCGTGTTTTGCAAAATTGTTCCCCAACGGCAGGGCATGCCCTGGTCGTTAATGTAACTGTTAGCAGAAAGGCCTCACCGGTGGATAGTGTTGATCTCCTTGAGCTCCCATTGCGTGTGTATGTGGTGGGGCTGCTCTCATCGAGAGTACCACCTGTAATTGAAATGATCCGATGGAGCCGCTTCAGCTACATCTATGAGAACCCAACGTTCCAGAACATTCCACGTACCTTGGTGCTTTCTGGAATCCTGGCAACTGTTCACTTTTTGAAACTACCCACGACGAAAATGAACATCACCGAGCAATTGAAATGGCTGGATGATGTTTAGATCAGTTGGGATATCATTATCCCGTCATTGACGTGCATCATCACGTAGTACTGAGATTTCTCATATTTTAGACATGTATATGACGGAAGTAGGTCGAAGTACGGTAGTGGTAGGTTGTGCGCTACCCACATGAGCCAAAACCTGAATTATAGTCTTGAATGTCGCATCGTATCCCTCTAAGCGTGGCAAACAGCGTTCATCACTCCAGGGTTGCTGAAGTAATATGAGACTTGTTTGGGGAAACTAACTGACTCCTGGTTCCTCAAGTCAGAGGTTCAAATCAAATCGCTTGCAAGCGCATGTGCCATTCCGACTGGATATAGAATGCGTGGCTTATCTTGCAAAGAGCTAAGCCATGCCGAATGGACCACAGTATGCCACCAAAGAGGCGGAGGTGGCGTAGGGGCTGTGGTATGCAGCAAGTGGTACGCATACGCGCGATTTGGGAGTGAAATCCCTGGTTGGCTCCCTCTCAGGCCAGCCAAGCCTTCTCTGCACCGGCACTGGTGAAATGGTCCAGATTCGTCCGAGAGGATGAGAACACTGACTTGTACAGCGGCTGCCCCTCCCACCCCTCGCGTGTCCTTGTCTCAGATATCATTGGTCTGTCAGACGTCCAAGGGTCAGCATTCTGTCACAAGCATTAACTATTCTGAGCGGAGAGGGCTAAGTTCCCGAAAAGAGATAAAGAGTTGATCCCCTATCCTTTATCTCATCAAAGAGCAGTTTACGTCAGCTTCAAATGAAGTGCCCGGCATGGCGCTTCCGCGTCTCCGGGATATAGAAGTGAGCCGCGTTCGCGCTCAAAAGGTTCGATGCTAAGCAGGTATTGCCCGCTCACTACGAGTCGCCGTTCGCTCCACTTCCCCTTTATCACTTTTGGACGGAATGGCAAACATTATTCCTGAGAACATACGGAATTTGACTCCCAAATCTTGCCGCACGGTAATTAAGACCATTTGCGCTGACAATGTCCAGCGTCCTTGTGCAATAGTAAGAGCTTTCAGAATGGCGAACTAGCCACATTCCCGCTCCCCTCACCCCGCAGATCGATTTACGGCTATTTTCCCCGCTCGCCCTCCGCCCGAAGATCGATCCAAGGTATTTGAATTTCGACCATTTATGTGGATGTAGCGAGTCACAACAGCGGATAAAATTTGTTGTTTTCCTGGATTCCAACAATCATCCACTTGAGGAATAGTCCAGCGTTACGCTTTGTGGCTTTTCCTCCTTTGGGATAATCGGGGTTGGGGCGCACGCAAAGGAATTAGGCGCATGGCAAGCCTGACGCCGCCCAGCTATGATCATCGTGAAAAGTGCGCGCTGAATACCAGTTGGTGCAGTTAGGAGTTACTATTAAGGCCATAAGGCACGACAATTTAGATATACAATGGCAGCGGAGGTGCCTTTGTAATGGGGTATATGATGAAAAAGCGAAGTGAAACGGTCAACAAGCTGCGAAAAAGCTTTTGTACCGACAATGGACGTGTGTACGGTTGACCTTGAGCAATTTCTTTTTTATTTTTCTTTCAGTTTTCCTTTTCTTACATCGCGATCTATGTCTAGTTTTGTTTAGTCTGGAATTCTAAAAAAACGGTTCAGAGATTGGACCTATGTGCCGCTCGCCAAATCGAAGTCTCTCACCCACAGTGGCTGTCCTATTGTCGATGGATGCACAACAGTACTCGCAGACATTTTGAACGAAGTAACAGAAATTCGCAGTGAAGCTGCCGAAAGGATCTTCCCATCGCTTTTGCTCTACGAAAGTAATGGTAGGAATTCGTGACTGTTACGATTGCCTTCTCTTGAAGCTTCAGTGACGTAAAAGGGCTTTTCTTTCAGTCTCCGACAGTACTGATCAATGCCGAGCAGTCCGTGATATGGCCGAGTTCCTGCCAGTGCTACTCGACCTTTCTCGTTTTCTAGCTAGGACCAGCTTGGTCTTTCGGAATCTGTTGTTTCAGATACGAGGATTTCATGGACTGGAGTAAGTTGGAGCTCATCTCCAGAACAAATCTGCTTTTGTAGAGTTAAGCTATGGCTTGAAGCGTAGTCCATGCTGATCGTATGGGCGGAGCTAGGCTTGCCACCGTGAATTCCTCTTTGATGTGTCTCTCCTGTCCATGATGGGACATTCCAATGAGAAAGGCACAAGTGTGGCACTCCGCTCACACGAACAGCGTAGACTGTAGTTCGAGACAGCTTAGCGTATATTTTCGTCGAGCATCTGCTCTTTTTTTCCAGACCCGACGACTTACCAGCGGCGCCAGATCGGAAGTTATTTCGAGCTTGGTTCGGTCTTGGAGAATTGTTGGCTGTTCTCCTTCAAACGGACAAAATTATCGAATGTCGTCCAGCAATCCGAAATGATTGGAACAGCTATTCTCGGTGGGTTGTTCTGCTCAAGTTATGAAAATATCGCATTGATACAAAGGCTAACAGCGTACAGTCTTGTTCGCTGCAGATGCTGACGTGTGTCAGGGGTAGGGCTGGATTTGGCGCTGTACCAGCCGTTCTCCACGATTGTGAAACTGAGCGACCACGATTGGCAGGAGAAAAACCAAGCGGACTGGCGCCGCGCAACCCCCCCTGCCTCCCTCTGACATGCCTCAGCGTGGCATGCGACACGAGCCGCAATCTTTCTCTTCTCTTAAATTTCAAGCCTTTAAAGCGAACTGACCTCCCTTTGATCAGCGTATAAGTTAGAAGCTGCGCAAGAAATAGGAGGTGATACATCGTGTTGCTAAAGTATCTCACGCTGTATAAACCGCGAACAGTGGCATCATCGTCGTGGTTCCACTTGGGGGGGGCGGGGTGCTGCTAGAGTGTTTTGGCTCGTGGAATGTGGGAGAGTCGCACCATTCACTTGCTGAAAACTCTTGTTAGTTTTTGGTTTTCTCCCCGTGCCCTCGACTCCCCCCCCCCACCTTGCCAAGTAATCGCGGCAAGAAAGTCCTAACGGTCGGCTAGTGTGCTCTACGAACCTTTGGCTGATCGGGTGGGAGGTTGTATCGAGGGAGAATTGTTTCGCATCCAGTTATGCTGCTCAGAGCCCCATGATCTGCTGTTTTCAGTGCAATGGGAACAGCTCAACATAACCCCGCCCAGTTTGGAGTGACCGTTGAAGAAATGCACCCCCTGATAACCACCATCGCGACAATTGATGGGCAAGTCATGGCCGGAAATGGACTTCGCGTAGGTTCTCGTCAGTTGTACCTGCTGACGGTTTGTCATCCAGCCCACCTCTCTAGAACTGCTACGAGCAAAGCTATGGGGAACTGGATGAGGACAAGAAGTTTGCCGCACGCATGCGAGCCGCAATCGTCGAGATTTATAATCAATGGGAAAGAGCGGCAGGTGCTGCACTTGTTACTTTTTACTTTTCAAAGCTTCCGATTTGGATTCAGATAGTGATATGCCGGACAAATACCGACTGATGGTTATCGTGTCGTTGTTCGTCTTTTTTCAACTGCACTTCGCTATCAATGACAACAAACTAGGAAGGATCATTTGGAAAGAGCCACAAAAAGGTAGCTTCACTGCATAAATGCGATACCACACGGGGTTAGTTCGCGCATTTCCAACGTTCGTCGCATGGGCGGACCGGTTTTGTGCCCACTTGTCAGCTCCCTTTTCTCAAACACTTTGATCAGGATGGGGATGCCGCAAATGGGAAAGCCAGCCGGCCTCAGACGGGCGTTCGCTACACAGAGCCCTGCGGATTGTGTCCTCAACGTTACAGGAGGAGGTTTGGTTTGGAAATGGGGGGGCGGAACAATTCTCACCTCAGTTGAAGAGCGTTTCTGCGAGAAATTACGTGATGACGTCATTAATTTCTTTAGATCGTGGCTTTTCACATGATTGGAGATATCCTCTGGATTCCCTGCGAATTTCTGATGCGAGAAGTTCCAACAATCGTGAATGCTGTCGATAAAAAGAGTGTCCAACTCGTCAAGCATGTCAGGTTCGCATCACTTGATTCAGGTGTTCCCCTTGGCTACTGCTTGACTTTTCAAACTAAAAACGCCAGGGGTCGTATTTGACCGACTTTACAGTAGCTATGTTTGAAATGACGGTGTCAATGTGACCCTGAAGCTCCTCTTCTAGTGGTACTACTATCCCCCTCTTCTTTCCTACCTTGCGTATGGTGTTGGCAGCTAAGAGCGGGGTTATACAGGGGGGGGGGCCAAAAAAAAGTCATTCCGGCCGAGTCACATATGAGCGAAGTTTTCGCAGCCCAAACAGAGGAAGTGGATATGAGTACCAGGGCGGAAGATACCAGATTCCTCGATAAGCAGGGAGCTGGCACTCGCCGCATCACTTCACGTGCTTACACCAATATGAAGGGTCACCTCAGTCGCAGCCTGACTGGAGAAGACCTTTGGAATTCATGTCACCTCCAAACAGCTGCGAAACTTCTAGAGTCACCCATGGGTAGCTACCTGGAGACTAGTACTCTCAATCTGGAAAGACCTCCAACATCGAGCAGCTTCGACAACGTCGCTATGGTCTAGGACATCATCTTCACCACTGTCGTCAGGGCACGGGTTGATGGTATGGACCTGACGTACCCGGAATGGAAAGACCGATATTTTCTTCGTGGACCCCGGAACTGAAGTTGAGCGCTGGCGGCGCTACATTGGAGCAACTCGTAGAGAAATATCCTCCTCACATGTCGTCGCCCGTACCTTCTTGGAAACTTTGTACTGCTACAGGATTGGGTGACAACACATTTAATCGAAGGGCGTTGGAAAAACTTTCGCCTACTTGGAATGGAAGAACGTTGAGTACCTGGAAAAGATGGAGTATTTAAGCGGGGGTCCTGAACTAAACCCCCTCAATTACTCGGTTCGGGCGGAGCTCAACAGGGTGGTCTACAGTGGCGGAGAAATCAACGATCTCGCTCAACTCCGGTACCCACTCACTTTCGCGCGGCCGAATCTCTCGATGGCGCTCCTCCAGAAGGCTGTGGCGGAGTATCATTATAGTATTTAATGTGCTCTTTAATATGGTAGTAAAATGTCCGATAAAAATTTCAATAACTCTATTAGACGCCTTTGAAGTCATGGTAGGCAAAATTGACTTTTTTGTCCCCCCTCCCCTGTATAGCGGAACATATGACGTGGAATAAAGCGAAGACCACTTACGACCCTCTCGTCAGCGACCGATCCCCTGATATGATCCTCCCAACGCTATACCCTGATTTGACAGAGGCATAGAAGGGGCCCTTACTAACCGTAAGAGGGATTTCTCTGATTGTTAATTTTTACCGTTTTACTCTGCGCTTTATATACTTCTCGCCTCAGTAGGTAGTGCCGGAAGCTAATAATTCTGGATTCTTTCTATCTCAAATAATTGATCGGAGGTGTTTGCCCCCCCCCCTCGATCGACAGCAAAATGGGGAAACGCCGGGAAGGGTAGGTATGGCGGGTAAACTCCATATCACGGAGATGAGGTGGGCGTGGCTGCGTATTTTATTTCAGCACGGCGTAAAATGCGTTTCTCGTGGGATCCTTCTATTTGAGAACTGTCGCAGGCATTTTTTACTGGAGTGGACAAAGATATAATTGTAACTGTCCCGGGACGAAGGTATTTTGCACAAGCGCAGTCGCCACCACCTTCAAGTGGAGTACGCAGCCACGCTATCTCTAACTTTGGAATATTCAGCGTAGGATAGGTAAGAGGGTTGTGCCAGAGAATTTTGGAAAGGCTCCTATTTCGCAAAACACCACACGTTTCCAAACGCGTGTGCCCTTGGTGTAGGCTTACCGGCTGTCTGTCCTCCTTAGGTGTAGTTGAAGGATCGTCAACAACTAGCTGATCATGCTCAAGAGGCTCTGGAGACGAGGTTCTACTTGGGTCCTTTAGAGAGGCTCTGAGAAAAAATTATGTTGTACTTGAAGCGAGATTAAAAAGAGTCAAGGTAGAATTCTCCATTCGCCACGAAAACTTGGGACAACTTTTCTTGTCGTCATGGTCATTCATCCCCTGCGCCGTTTGTCGTCACAATGACCTCCACTTTGAGTTGAAGACCTGGTTGAATCAACTTGCTGAAACCAATACTAGGATTTTTGCATGGAGGAGGCGTGCAAGGACGTTACTATTCTCATAATGGTTCGGTACTACTAGTGATGTGATCATTCTCCTTTCAGAGAGACTTTAATGGTTGAACAAAGTGATGGCATGCTCGAGGAAGCCACCTCTTATATACCATCAGCTGAAGAATGGCAAACTAAGGTGAGGTGGTGCATTAAATCCGTTAAGAGACCTTCGGATGGGTGAGCATGGCGCAAAAAGTAACAACTAAGCAGAACAACTTTGTAATGTGCTTTGATGGTTCAGATGCGAGCAGAAGTACGCCGCCAAGAGCCTCGCGATGCCGCTGCAAGTCTAGCTGTTGCAGAGCTCATGTTGAAGGTAAGAAGACTGTCGGAGACAGAATTTTCATCATGGTTGATGGGGACCTCACCTCCTCCGCTCAACGGCGGTAATTTTGGAAAGACTGAAAAAATCCAGGGAAAAGTGGTCGGGAGTTGGGAGAATTTAGTAAGATTGTAAGTAGGATAGGAGGGTCGTAGCGGATGAGGAAATTTCCGGGGGAGGGTGGACTGCCAGTGCCACACACAGATGCTGTACACTCTCTAAGAGGTAGTTTTCAGCTATCCTTATTGCCAAAGCGATCCTCCTTCTCAAAGAGCCCGTAGATACTTTCACTGAATAGAGTAGGCGCTATAATCTGTAATTGAAACGTCCTCAAAAATAAGGCTGTGTTTTTGAAGAGATTTTCTTTATCGAACAGTTGACCTTTATAGGGCGCACGTATAGCGGATGTTATGTGCAGCTTGTTGCGAATCGTACTCAATTCGTACACGGGGCCAATTCGAATGTCGAAGGCTAAAGCGTACAAAATGTTCAGTGTCATTGAAAACATCAAGGTTTGTTGTTTACGCTGCAGTTGAAGTGCAGTGCACGGTGATCGTATGGGGAGTCAAGCGACTTGCTTCTTCATTTGGCGCTGTCCTTCTTCATTGCCATTCAAGCAGGAGGGAGCGCATCAGTGAAGAACGGCTCTGGTTGCGCCTTGCACACTTCGTCACGGGTTGCTCGCTTGCTATGTCTAAGTCATGGGTTTTATACACCGTCTTATTCGCCTCGGATGACGGGCTTTTCAAGGGCTTTGGGTGCGGCGCCAGCCACTTTTCACCAGTTGGTGGTCGCCTTCTAGGTTCCACAATTGGTGAAGAACGGGTTAGCGCCCCTCCAAACCCAGCCGCCGACACGCTTCAGCGTCCGCGGCCAACACTACTCTAGAGCCAGTTAGGTTGCGCTCGTGCTGGAATATTTACAAAGGCTGCCATAACAACGCTATTTGAATAGTTTAATTTCTTATATTTAATCTCTGTTCTTTAAAAACGTACAAGTCTTACTAGTAAAAGAGAGTTTGCGAGCACTGTGCCACGCGTCAGACCGAACCATCATTCTGATTACTTGCAGGGCCCGATTTCACAAACGTTTCGACTGGAAGCCGCTAGGATGCTTTGCTGGAGTGCTGCCAGATGGCATGTCTCCAATGGAGATGTCACTCGCGTTGGCGCTCATCGACCGTGCTCGCCTGTCAGCTCGGGAATCTGGAGATGTGCATCGAGCGGCCCTGCTTTTCCACAATTGCATTCCAGTGTCTTCTGGGGAATACGCGTTGGTGACAACTATGATATGTCGCTCTCGAACCTTAACGGCCTAGATCCGGCACTGGCTTGTATGGCGGCAGACGGTCCACCCATCGTACTGCTTCTTATAAAGCCAATCTCATTTCACCGAGATCTCCAGGTAAGGCGAAGAGGTCGACTGCCTCCATCCATACGATTATGGCACGGCAAATCTGTAGGCTCTGATGGAAATCGAACCACCAATATAACCTTACCTATGCGCTAGGCTCAAGGCAGCTGTTGGTGTAAGGATGGTGGCCTTACTGCTGTACTGCTAATTTTATTTGTGATCATGCTGATCTTGTCCCTTCCAGGAATCCCGATGTCGCCTAACTGTGTGTGTGGCGTCGCACTGGAAATCGCCCAGTATAAGGTGGGTATTTTCTCCTATTGATAGTTTCTCGAGTAAAAGATCCATTTTCAGGATTTAATGCGGAAGGTAGATTCAGCACAATTGGATGCGTTGCTTTCCCGTTTGGATACGTTTTGCAAGATTGATTCAATTATTGAAAGGTGAGGCTCAGAACTGCTTGAAGTTAGTCCACCATGCTGGGATTATAGGGGGTGGCGCGGTGTGACCTAGCAGCGTCCTTCTTCATTGGTGCGCCCTCTTTTGCACACCTTGGGGGAAAGTGCACTATTAGGGAGACTGCTATGATATTACGGAATCCTCTCACACGACAGAGCGAAATGCTGCGTCAGCGACAATCAGGCTCGCCAAGTTTTCAAAATCGATGACTTCCTGCACAGAACATAAATTTGGTACGGATCGATTGCCCAACCGATCGTTGTTGAAATACCCATTGGTCTTTTATGGGCTGACTGAGGACGCTTTCCGATTGTTGGCTCCCCCCCCGCTTTCGCAAAGCAAGGGGTCGCTTTTGTACAGTTTTTCACAGCTTGTCCTCATTATTGTATCTGCAAAAGAGGTTATGCTCCACTGTTTTGCAGTTAAGTTATTTACCTTGAATTTTGGAATGTGCTTTGATATGACATAAAAGCAGTTGGCGGGGGGGGGTGGTGAGCAGTCTGATGTACACTAAAGCGATTAGAACTCAATCGACTCTTTTTGAGCTTCATCTTATGATAGGCTGCTTTGTTGCCGCAGTTCGCGCTCTGAAGTTACCACAAGAATACTGAGTGGATTGGGCATTAAAGTCGCCCAGGCGGACGCCAACCCGACAACCCCCGAAGAATCAATACCCTAGTCGACTTTTGCCCATAACTCATCATTCGACTCCTCTTTTACCTTCGAAAATGTTGAAATGAGGGGGACCTCTATGGCGTAAAGTCGGCTAGAAATAACCGAGACAGAGGTTGAAGGTCTCCTATTGAAAGCCCTATTTGTCGAACGATAAGTCCAACTGTGATTGATTTTACTGACTGGATTCAAATGACCAGTTTGATTTGCTGGATTTATGTTGTTCAAGCCACCTCCGAATGATTTGATCATCATTTCTTCTCTAACTGCACGTAATAGAGTTTTTCAGGGTAGCAGACTGTTCGTTTTTGCTTTTCCATCGAGATCTGATTGGAATTTACTGGGACACTACTCTGGATCGCACACCAACTAGGCAAAGCATTACGGTATTACCGTAATCTGACGTGCTTTATTTATTTGCTGTTTGCTTAGATTATTTAATATGGTATTTGATTGGATGGTCTTTTCCAGTATTTTGCAATGGCAGTTTCGGATTGTATACGATACGTGAAAAAGTCCATGATCAATATTCATGTCGAACGTTTTCGTGCAGAAATGTTTGAATTGATCAAAAAGGTACTCAGTATCGATTTGTACATGTAATTATCAAGAGATCAGGGGAATTTCAGGGATTTCTCTATCCGCTTTGTGCTGCGATTGAAAACGATCTAAGGAATTCTATCGCACCAACATCTGGTCATTGATGAAAGGTAAGGTAGAATTAATTTCCAAGCTTTGTCCTGGGGATTAAGGGTTCCGGAACAGAGTCTGCGTGGGTGGGGAAAACCGATGCTGTGTAGTCCGCTTATACGTGAGATCGTGGGTAAAACAGGCGCAGGAATGCTAGGAATTCTCCATAGAGCACAAACCCTCATAACTTTCCACGTTGGTTATGTGGACGGTGCCAGGCCCACGACTGCGCCTTCTTCAGTGGTGGGCCCTGCTTTCGAAGGCGGTGAAAAGGGGCAGGGCTCGCCAATAAAGAAAGCACCGCGGTAGCTACAGCTCCGCCTATATGGCGAGCATGAGGTGCGGACCTTATCTCGTTTCTTCGAGATTAATTAGAGAGAAAAGTCACACTAACCCAGTTTTTCAATAACTTCCCCCCCCCTCCCGGGCAGCATGGCGATGACTTTGGGGGCTACCACGAATTTCCCTCTATCTTTCGAAATATTCTTACCATTAGTATGGTAACCTTAATATGGTATGGAAATTGACATGTGACTTAATAGACTCCCCACCATGGGATTGTTACCCTGAAATGTTTGCATCAGAAAGTAGCATGGCAGTTCCGGTGATCTGGTTT